CGACCCTTCCCTTGCGGCTCACCAGGACCTCGGGATCCTCCCAGTGTGGCTCTCCCTGGGCCCGTCCTTCCCGCCCGGCGCTTCTGCCCAGCTCGCCACAGCCTTCATCTCAGCCCGGGCCGCGCCTCCCGGCTTCTGGCCCACGGCCCTCCACCCTGCCCGGGCTCTCGCTTCTTCGCCATCCTTCACTCTGGGGTCCAGCCCAACAAGATGGGCCACCTACAGCTTCCTCACTGCCAGGCCCTAGTCCGCCCAGGACAGGTTACCCGACTGGAGGAGGGGCCTGAGAGAGCGGTGTGGCCCTTAGCACCCTGTCCCGTGATTCCCCAAGTCTACTGCCAAATTCCTTTTGAACTAAGGGTTGTAAGGGACAGAGCGCCATTAAATCGTTTACTAGGAAGACATAGGAGTGTGTGTGCGTGTGTGTGTGTGTGTGTGTGTGTGTGTGCTGAGCTCGCCCCTCCCCCATCTCAGAGCAGATATTCTCCCCCTTTCAGTAATCGGCTCATGTGGGCCCCACTGACCTCCACCTCCCCGCCTAAACTGAATCTCTTGGCACCTGGGTTTATGTGGGTGGGGAGGGGAATCCAATCTCCCTTTCCCTCCATCTGGCCTAGTGGACAAAGGGCAGGGGGACCATCTGGTCCCGCCAGAGTAGGGGGAGGAGCCCGCAGTGGCAGTCCCAAGGGGGAGGGGGGAGGAGCGGCCCGGGCTGAGACTGAGACAGACAGCAAAAGCATGTGAGGTCTAATAGCATCACTTTATTTCAGGGACCTACACAGTCGGTCTCCCCACCCCACCCCCAAACCTCATAGCAGGAAACAGGCTTGTCTAAGAAGATTCAGGCTTGATGACCTGGGGTGGTGTGCAGCCCCCAAAAGGAAAGGGGAAAGTAAAACAGGTATATTTGAAAGGCAGAGGGGTTCACCTCCCCTTCTGAGGAAGGAAGCAATTCTGGCCTGGGACCAGTTGCAACGTGTAGGTGAGAGAAATCTAGGGCTGGCCTCATCTTTAATCTGGCAAGTGAATCTTTTACAAAGACTGGCTCGTAAAGAGGTTCCCAGGGAACCTTCACAGGGAATTGCACATGTACTTGTGCAAGCCTGTGATGCAATGGTGGTGGTGGTGGTGCACGCTTTTAATCCCAGCACTTGGGAGGCAGAGGCAGATGGATCTCTCTGTGAGTTCAAGGCCAGCCTGGTCTACAGAGCAAGTTCCAGGTCAGCCAAGGCTACACAATAAAACCCTGTCTGGAAAAAACATAAAAAAAAAAAAAAAAGGAATGTGGGTATCAGTCCAATCATGTGGATCCACGCGCTCCCAAGGGAAGGGTTCTATTTGGGTGTGGGATGAATCTAAACAAGCATTCATACATGTCTGTTAGGGAAGTTAAGGGAATGTCTGGCCCACAGAGCAGCTGAAGAAGGAGGTGGAGGGAATGTAAGCGTAAGTGGTGAGAGCCAAGCAAGGACGCCTGTAGGAGAAGCTCATGGATTACCCACAATCAGATTTCTCCCCTGAAACCGAGGCTCTTCCCACTTGATTTTACCTCCTTGATCCGATCTGCGGCTGCAAGAGAAAAGCAGAAGTGACAGGAACCCAGACAGATGTATAGACAGCCCTGTGGCGGGTGAGCCGGGGAGAAGCCAGCGAGAGGTCCCAGAGCAGGCAGGCTGCCCCCCCTATCAGCAGGGCTGAGTCTCACGCTAGTCCCTGCAGGAAATCCAGCAGCCCTGTGTGCCACGCATCAGGCTTGTCCAGGTAGCAGGGATGCCCTGCACCCTCCATGACCAGCACTCTGTGGTTGGGCAGCTGCTTCAGGTGTTGAAAGCTGGAGGAACCCATGGGGTCTTGGTCTCCATATACAATCAGAGCTGGAGTCTGAGCGGAAGGAAAGGAAGAAAGAATCAAGGAGCTCGCCACACCAGCTCCAGCCTTTAAAGGTCAGCTTCAGCCCTCATCACCACTACAGTCTCTTCCTGCCCACCTGGAGACAAGCTGATCCAGGGGGTGGGGGACATAGTTTTATACAAGATTTTCCCCAGTACACAGTTTTATACAAGATTTGGCATAGTAATCTAACTAGTCAAACAAAAGGAGTTAGGTGGTCAGATCTCCCCAGAATCAACCCCGTTGGTTACCCAGCCTCCAGTTGAGGAAGGCCTGGGGATGGACCCCACCTTGCTCCTAACATACCATCTCAACTTTACACACACACAAAAGATACCTTAACACTGGCATAGTCAGCAGCGCTGATTTTGTCTGTGCAGATGGGAGCCACTGGGACATAACCCCGGAGCTGGGACCCAGGGGCCACGAGGAAGGGCAGGGCATACATTCCACTTAAGGATGGACTGATCACAACTGGGGGTCCCAGCTCCAAGGCATCCACCACAGCTGCTAGGAAGCTGCCAGGGGCCAATTCCCCGACAGGGGCAGGGGCTGCTGCTTCCTTGGAATGACCAAGACCTGCAGGGATTCAGGTGTAGGAGAGACAAGGGCAATGCATGAGAAGGATCCTTTCTTCCAGCATAGGCTCCTTGGTCGATCTCTGTGTACCCAGGTTTGTGTAACACCAGTGGGCTGCATTCACTCATACCCATAGCCTACTGTATTTTATCTGTAGCAAGAATGGGACATTTCTTTCCATGTTTGCGTTCATACTAACAGTGTCCTGGAAAGAGTCAAGCTCTGGAGTCTATCAGGGCTAGCTCTGTCCCAGGTCTCCATTTACTATAAAGATGACCATAGGTCAGGTCTCTCGGCCCTCCTCAGCTGTCCAGTTTCCCCTCTCTGTTGCAAAGGGATTAGGAACGTTCCTGCCATTTAAACTTGTGAAAATTAATTGACTGTTTGGAAGGCACCTAGCCCTCCTGGAGGATCGAACCCAAGATGAATGCTTCTATACTGGGACCTGCCAGTCAGTCCCCACCTTTAATAACATTAGCTATAGACCTTTACCCTGCAGCTCAGCCCAACCCTCTGTTGGAAGCAAGCCTGGCCAGGCTGGAGATCTGCCCTTGAAACCTGAAACCACATCAGCCAGTAGCCCTAACCCGTGAGGGGATTAGATCCTGCAGATAGCTATGCCTCACTAGACATTAAGATGGGTGGGGCCTCCTGATCCAGGTTGTGATGGACAATCTGGAAGCTATTCCTGCCTTCTGCAGTGCCCAAGGACTCTGCTTGCATATAAGTGACCAGGTTCTTAGCCATCCATCAGGCCCTGCCTTGCTTCCCAAGGCTCTGGAAGACTTAATGACAGTGCTTCCATCAGCCTGTGAATATGGCTTTGCCAAGGGACTTCCCAATCAACCGAGCACCCGTTACTAGCCCTCAAGTATTAGCCGATACATTCACCCAGAGAACCTCATCCTGTGCTCACTAGGGATAGTCACCAGCAGGAGTGTGGTATCTATCACTACAGATGAGGGAAGTGAAGCCCAGAAACACCGAGACACAGGTTCAATAACAGTGAGAAGCACCTGGGCAGTGTATCGACCCTACTAAAGCAAGACTAGACAAAGGTTCAAAGGTCCATGCACTGTGTGCCTAACTGTCAAGTTCAGGGCCCTGCCTAGCTAAATCCTTCCATTTCTCCATCCTTAAGTTTTTCCCAGCCCTGGCCCAGGAGCCCACCCCCAGAAGTACCTGGTAAGTCAATGGCCACAGCCCTGTAGCCAGCCTCAGCCAGCCTACGCAGAGTACCCAGGTTCTGCCAGGTCTCAGAGGAGAAGCGGATGCCATGCAACAGCAGCACAGAGAAGCGAGCAACCTGCCCACTGCCAGGCCGAGCCTCTCTGAAGAAGAGGCCCTGGCCTTGCACCTGGATGGTGCCCTCATGCTGATCCACACTGGCCATGCTCGATGGTGATGTGCCTGCAGTTCAAAGCCAGGCTGATGAGCAGTGGGTGAAAGAGCACCCTGCCTGGGGACAGTGGGGGGGGGCAGTTAGGTGACCACCAGGTCTCTAGAATCTGAATTAAGGTCAGGAAGCAGCTATTATTTCTGCCTCTCCCACTCCATTATGTGATATTGGGCTTCAATTGACTGAACAATGGCAGAATTAGGAATGTCACTTAAGAATTTAAGAAAAGCTGTCAGACAAGGGTGGCACATGCCTTTAATCCCAGCACCTGGGAAACAAAGGCAGCGAATCTCTGGGAGTTCCAGGACAGGTAGGGCTACACAGTGAAACCCTGTCTCAACCCCCACCCTAATAATAATAAATAAATAAATAGCCAGGTGGTGGTGACACACGCCTTTAATCCCAGCAGAGGCAAGTGGATCTCTGTGAGTTCGAGGCCAGCAGAGTTAGCTTCCAGGACAGCTAGGGCTGTTACACAGAGAAGCCCTGTCTCAAAAAACAAAATACAAAAAAGAAAAACAAAAAAACAAAAAACTATGTGAGCTGGGTAGTGGTGGCTCAACCCTTTAGTCCCAGCACTCAGGAGCAGAGACAGGCAAATCTCAAAGCCACCCTGGTCTATAGTGAGTTCCAGGATAGGCAGGGCTACACAGAGAAACCATGTCTCAGAGAAAAGAAAGAAAGAAAGAAAGAAAGAAAGAAAGAAAGAAAGAAAGAAAGAAAGAAAGAAAGAAGAAAAAAAGAAAAAGAAAAACTATGCATCTGGGTGGGTCGCACCAGCAGTTGAGATATCTGCTGGTAGGGAGAACTGGTATATGGGACTATTCAATACTAGTTCATAGACAATGGATAGGATTAAATGAAGCTATACATTAAAAAAAAAACTTGATACATGCCTGGCACATAGTAAGTGCTCAGTCGAGGTTAAATACTATCTTGATTAGCATCATCCAGCCTAGCACTATCGTAGAGTGGGTGAGCTGGCAGTAAATACAGGTAGAAGTGAGACCAAGTTTGTTTGGGATGAAGGCCCATTTTCCAGAGACAGAAACACATGCACCAGTCGGCAAAGACTTTGGAAGTTTCTGACTGCCAGGGACGCGGGGTTCTCAGCGCGCTGGCCGCTGGAGCCCAACCGGTAGACGCTGCAGTCACCCGCGGTCTGTCTGTCCACAGTACCCCACAATTTCGGATCCCTGGGTCTGTCTGAAGGAAGCACGGGAAGGAGGAGCAGCCCAGAGAGAGGTGTCCTGGAGAGCCGAGATAAGAAGACTTGGGGCAGGTGGGTTCTGAGTGAAGACGCAAAGAAAGAGTCGAGAGTGCAGGGTGGTACCTGGAAATTTTCGTGGTCTTCGGCAGGAGAATGGCGAGCGCTGTTGGCGGGTGGGGAGAGAAGTAGGAGAGGGGCCGGGCAGGAGGTGGAGACAGACCTGATGGCTCCGGGCGCCCTCTTTTGGTCACAAACTACCACTAGACTCGTCTGTACCTTAACCCTTGGTTCTTCTCCCACCTAACCTGTTTCCACGTCCCCACCCCCATGTGCCCCAAGAGCCAGGCTGAAGGTCTTGAAATTCTCAGCTATCTGCCCCACACGGAAGTGGCCTGCCATGAGGGGGAAAGCTATTTCTGGTATCCCTGTTGTCCGCCCCCCTAAACCGCCCTCACCCCGAGTCAGGACAATCCAGGACGAGCTGTGCACCTGTCATGAAGCTGACATCCTACATATCAGCGTGTAAGGCTCTGCCAAAGTTCAGCCAGGTGGCAGGGGAGTCTTTTCCGAGCCTGTAGAATGATTAATGCTATTCTGGTTAATGTCAGCCTTGGCAAAGTATCAACAAATAGTGAACCTTTTGCACCCTTCATGGCGTCCCTGCCCCGAGGCTTAGTTGTAACACAGAAGCCTGAACCTGGGGCAGACCAGATGTTGATCACAGTAATTGGTGTCCTGAGCAGACCGGGAGCTCAGAGGCCCCACTAAAACTCTGACCCGGCAGGGGAATGGGGCGAGTAAAGAAAATGTTTAGGCGGAAGTCTGGAGCTGCCGCATGACAATAACATCATCTGGCATTTACACTAGGAGACCCCGATGCCAGGAGGCCTCGGTGTTCCGAGTGACCTGTCCTTATGACATCCCCGTGCAGTTGGTCCTTTCCTAAACTTCATTTTGCAAACAAAACAATTTTAAAAAATGAAGAACCGGGTGAGTCTCCATAGACTCTCAAACCTCAAGCCCTTCCTTAACAAATCCTAAAATCTGGGCCGGGAGAGGCGGGCCTCGGGGCCTTGGGGCACCGCCCCAAGTCTTCCTTTGGTAACCAGGCAAGGCCTTCAGCTGCGTACTGCGCAAGCGCTCAGGGGTAGTCCGACTCTGACCGGCTGATTACCAAGGCGGAGGCAGTGCCATACTCGCCAGGCCGTTTGACTGTTGGCTCCGCCTCGGCCGGGCCCCGCCTCGTCACCGTCACCGTCACTCCTGTTAGTTCGGTGAGTGTCTCCCGGGAAGGCGGCCCGCTTGTTGTCCGGGGATCGCCGTCCTTGTCCCCACCGCTTGGGGCAGAGTCCATTGGAAGACTCAAGCGCTGGGCAACACGTGTGCAGGGTTCCTGCGCTGTGCGCGCGCGAGTGTCTGCGTGTGTTTCTCTTCTCTTTTGCCGAGGGTTGGGTGGGGTGGGTGGGGTGCGGGTGTTCACTGGTCTGCCTCCTTGCTTGTATGCTTTTTTTTTTTTTTTTTTTTTGTATTTCTCTCTGCATCTGACTGTGTGTATTTCTGAAGGTTTATGTGTGTCCCTCTGCTGGTGCGTTTCTTCCCATACCTGCCCCCTCTCCCTCCAGATCCTTGCCAGGTAGCTAGCTTGTCCTTCCCTGGGTCTTTGGGAACATGGAGGAGGTCAGAGAACTTGCTAGAGTCTGTTCATCTTTCAGCGTGTGAGTTCCAGGGATTGTCAGGCTTGGCAGCAAGTGCCTTTACCTACTGAGTCCCTTATTTATTTTAGTTCATGGTCTCACTACATTGCCCAAGTAGGTCTTGACCATCCAGTACTCCTGAGTTTGGGTGCTTGTTTCTGTCTTTGTTGTATCGTTGTTGCTGGTTTTTTTGTTTTGTTTTGTTTTGTTTTGGGTTTTTGTTTGTTCTTTGTTTGTGACAGGGTCTTGCTCTAAAGCCCTAGCTCTCAAATTTGCCTGAATCCATCTCCTTGAGTGCTGCACTCTGAGCCTGGGACTGTGTGTTTATGTGTGGTTTAAAGATTGGGTGTGATTTTGTTTAACACTACGAGGAGGGTATGCATGTGGTGTTGTGGGTGTTTGGTTTTGTTTGTTTGTTTGTTTGCTTTGAGACAGTTTTGCCAAATAGTCCAGTTGCCCTCAACCTATAGTCCTTCTGTCTCAGTCTCTCCAACTTCTGTGCCTATGTATGGGTTGTTTTGTTTTGTTTTGTTTTGTTTTTCTTTTTTGAAAGGGTGTCTCTCTATGTAACCCTAGCTGATCTGGAACTCCCTATGTAGACAAGGCTGGCCTCAAACTCACAGAGATCCTTCTGCCTCGTCTCCTGAGTGCTGGGATTAAAGCCATAGGTCACCATGCCTGTCTTTTATATGGTTTTGAAATACATGTGTTGGTCTCTCTGCCTTCCTGCTAACTGGCTGTTGCGTGACAAAACTTTTCCTGGGGAGAAGACATACTTGTCTACTCACCCCAGATAGGGAGCCATGACAGATTCACTGAGCCAATGACTTTTACTGGGGTTACTTAACAGAAATATGGATAAGGGGTTATTTACAGGAAGCCTACCCTAACACGGGTGACAGTTCACAAAAACAGGGAAACATTTGGAACACCCTGCAGACCTCTCAACAGGTGTCTTTTCTGAGTGACTCAGTTGAACTCTTCCTGCCTGTTCACCTGAACTCTTCAGAGTCTTCTTCCCAGCTTAGCATTGTTTGGTCTGAGAAAGAATCCCACCCTTTCTTGTCTACTTGAGTAGGGAGGGGCCTAATGAATCTGGTCAGTTTCAGGGAGTTGTTTTTTTTTTTTTTTCAGGGAGTTCTTTAAGCTAATTTTTGGTTGTTTACCTCCCTGTTTGAGGAGCTCCACTGCAGTTTTGAGCTCTGAGGGGACCGTTAACAACAATTGCATGTGATTGTGTGGATGTTACTGTATGTACATTCGGGGAATAGCTTCCTTTATTAAAATGTATTATGTATTCAGTGTTCTGCCTGCATGTACTCCTGCACACCAGGAGAGGGCACCAGATCTCATTATAGATGTTTGTGAGCCACTGTGTGGCAGCTGGGAATTGAACTCATGACCTCTTGAAGAACAGTCAGTGCTCTTAACCTCTGAGCCATCTCTCCAGCTCCCAGGGGATAGCTTCTTGAAGTTTGCAGAGGCAAGACTCTTGTGTTTGTGTGAGTGTGTAAATATCTGTGTGACACGATAGAGGTATTCTAGTATCCATGGCAAGCAGTTTACTCATTCCTCCCTTCCCCCACCTGTGGAGCAATCTGCATCAGAACCCCTACATTGTCTAGTCTTGGGCGGCCTGGGTTGCCATGGCAATGAATAAAATCCCACCCCTTCACCCTGAAAAGAAGCACAGGTTTGCCCCTGGTGGACCACTAAGAGAGGTCCTTCACAGATGCTCCACCTCATGGGAACCTGAGCTAAAGCTACTTTGGAGGCAGACATCCTTGGCTGCTCCAGGTTAGGAAGAAGAGCGTGCTCTTTCTCCGCCTGGCTTCTGACTTCCCATCAGCACTGGAGGATCTGCTGCCCCCACACTGCCTGACTTCCGAGCTAGAGAGTGAGATCTTCAGAAGAGTTCTACAGAGTCAGCAAAGGTGAGTGTGGCCCAGTGCAGGCCACAGCTCCTAGGCCTACCACAAACTGGGTTTACACTCAGTAAATATGCAGCCAGAGCCAGGGGGTGGTGGTACCTCACTTGGGAGGAAGATGCAGGTGGATCTCTCTCTTTTTTTAATAACAATATTTAAGTTGCTTTTTTTTAAAGATTTATTTATTTATTATGTATACAGTGTTCTGTCTGTCTCCTTGCTGGCCAGAAGAGGGCACCAGATCTCATTACAGATGGCTGTGAGCCACCATGTGGTTGCTGGGAATTGAACTCAGGACCTCTGGAAGAGCAGTTAGTGCTCTTAACCGCTGAGCCAACTCTCCAGCCCCATAGGTGGATCTCTTAAGTTCGAGACCAGCCAGGTCTACAGAGTGAGTTCCAGGACAGCCAGGGCTAAAAGAAACCCTGTCCCGGGAAGAAAAAAAAAAAAAAAAAGAAATCAGTTCAGAGTCCCAGAAACAAGACAAGCATGTTCATCTTAGGTCCGATAAATGATGACAGGGACATCCCATCCCCACCTGCTGAGGTGTAGTGTATTTATGTAAACCACACAAGAAGCTTGGGCAGGTACCAGGACGAGCTTATCCCAAGTTACCAAAATCAACTAGTGACAGAGGGGAATTCTCAAACAAGACCACCTGCCTGCCCTGCTTGAGACCCCCTACGGGCTAACGATAATGGAGAATCAATCCCACACCAGTTATGTTTTAAAGGGGTATTTATTTTGGGGGGTAAAACTTACATACACCATAAACCGTCAGGAAGGGAGCCTAGTCGCTGGAGCAGGAGCCGGGAGCAGGAGCCGGGACCAAGAGGCCAAGCCGAGGCTTGCCGCTCTTCTTTTAAAGAGAAATATATCACGCCCCAGTGGGCTGGTATTTCAGCGGCTATTGTTGCGCTCCCGCAACACTGTGGGCTCCTGCTTCAGCGACTATTGGCTGAAGCAGCGGAAGGTACTCCCGCAGCAAGGTGCCATACTGGAGGAGTTTATGAAGCAGATCATTTGGCAGAGGTGGGGTAGAAGCTGGTCCTTTTCTAGGCCAGCTACACTCTTAGCCCCCAGTGTCTCAGACCATAGCATTATCCCAAACTTTCTCTGTGAACTGGCCCAAAATGTCTGGTGTGACCCTGAACTATCCCCTCCTATTGTGCAAGGCATTCTGTTTTTTTTAGCAGTTTTCTAGTCATTGTAGAAAAGAGAACCATTTCCGGACATGCGCTCAGTGGTCTCTCTGTGCTCGTTGGCTTTCAGCAGCCTCTACTCCATCCACCACTGTGTCTACAGTTCATCCATCTCCTGCCAGTGCTGTGTTTTCTTCCAGAACACCTAGGGCCTGCTATTTTGGAAACTGGCCCCAGGTCCCAGGTCTCTTCTGCTGTGGTGAGAATTTCACCTGTGAGCCTAGATTCCTTCGTGCCAGAGAACTGTAGTCATATCTGCTCCCTGTGTTTTCTTGGGGCCTCGGGATGCTGAGTGTAGAAAATCAAACACGAAGGCCACAGCCAGAAGAGCTGGTGTAGTTCCCGCAGCGATGATGGTGGCCATTAAACATGCCTGTGCCAAAGTCAGGCAGTGGTGATGCACACCTTTAATCCCAGCACTTGGGAGGCAGAGGCAGGCGGATCTCTGTGAGTTCAAGACCAGCCTGGTCTACAAGAACAAGTTCCAGGACAGGCTCCAAAGCTACAGAGAAACCCTGTCTCAAAAAGCAATAAAAACAAAAACAAAATCAAACAAACAAGCCATGCTTGTGCCGGAGGGCCGTCTTATGCACTTCTCCGCAGAGTGGAGTGTCCCAGGCCTTTGCCCTGGCCTTAGTAGTAGCTGGGTATAAGATATTCTTCCAGATCAAGAAGGGGAGGAGGGCTAAAGGTCTTCCTCAGCCTGTCTCTTCCCTTTTCTCCTCTAGGCTGTGTGATACAGACCTTCATGAGCCGGTACCAGGCAGCCCTGCTGGGTATAGGCCTGCTGCTTATGCTTCTCCTGTATGTGGGGCTGCCTGGCCCCCCTGAAAAGACTTCCCAGCTCTGGACAGGCCCCAATGTCACAGTCCTGGCTGGTCTCACCCGAGGCAACTCTCAAATCTTTTACCGGGAGGCGCTGCCAATCCAGCAGGCACACAGGTAAATGAGTACCCTAGGGTTTAATGGAGGGACCCCAGCCCAACCCGTGGGGCTCAGGAACCTGGAGGGCAGTGAAAGATGCCTGGGAAGAAAGGATGGTGTCTGCCCAGGTCCCACGCCTTGTCTTCCCCCATATGTCTGCAGGGTGGAAGTCGTGTTTCTCCATGGAAAGGCATTTAATTCCCACATATGGGAGCAGCTGGGCACGCTGCAGCTGCTGTCCAAGAGGGGCTACCGGGCTGTGGCCATTGACCTTCCAGGTGAGTAGCCTCACATCCAAGTTTAGAGAAAGCAGGCTACAGCAGGAACAAAGGTGCAGTCACCAGAAGGGAGCATTGGACAGATAGCAAAGCCCTAAGGTAAAGCAGGGGTGTGTGGGCCCCCATGTCTGGACAAACAAGTCGGAGGTCGCAAGAAGCCACCACAATAAGAGCCTGCTTTTATTCCCTGCCTTGAAAACTGCAGTGTGCGCTATTGTATGTCACAGAGGAAACAGAAAGATGATTTGTTCATAAGCAACCTCTGGGAGGATTTTTGTGCTTTTTGTGATTATGTAACTTTCGTGGCTTGGGGGGGGGCACACCTGCAGAAGTGAATAGATAACTCCTGAGAGAGAGTTGCTTCTCTTCTTCCACCCTGTGGGATCCAGGGCTGTCAGGCCTGGCAGCAAGCCCCTTCACCCACTCACTGCGACCTCACCACACTCTTTGTTTTGAACTGTACCCAAGGACTATGCTATACTCTGGGTTTATTGCTGTTTCCAGTACCATGGATTGAACCCAGGGCCTCGAGAATACTAGGCAGGCGCTCAACCACTAAGCTACACCTCCAGCCCCAGGCTATCATTCTTCTAACGAAAAATGAAAGTGGGGGTGGGGGTAGGAAGTGGCCCAGGGACGAGAGATGGCTCAGCAGTTGAGCATGAGCTGTTCTTGCCTCTGTTCCCTAATACCCAATCCAGGCAGCTCACAACAACCTGTAGCTCCAGCTCCGGGGGATGCAGTGCCCTCTTTTGGACCCTGAGGGAACTTGAACTCATGTGTGCAAACCTACATGCAGAGAGAGATACACATATAAATTAAAAATAAAATCAATATTATTTTGTTTGTTTTTTGGAACAGAGTTTCTCTATGTAACAGTCCTGGCTGTCTTGGAACTTGCTTTGTAACCAGGCTGACCTTGAACTCACAGAGATTCTCATTCCTCTGTCTCCTGAATGCTGGGATTAAAGGCCCTTGCCCAGCTAACTCAATATTTTTAAAAAAAAAAAAAAAAACATAAAGTCCTGCCAGGTATGGTGGCACATGACTTTAATCCTAGGACTCAGGGGGCAGAGCCAGGCTGATCTCTGAGTTTGAGGCCAGACTGGTCTACAAAGCTAGTTCCAGGATAGTCAGGGCTGTTGTAAACCCTGTCTCAAAAAAAAAACCACATGAAGACAAATAAAAAGTGAAGTCCTAGAAGCCAGTAACACTTCTCTCCCCTCTCTGAATGACTGAGAGGGACAGCCCCACTTTCATGCATTTCAGGAGGCTGCAGCAGGAGGCTCCCAGATTCAAGGCCTGCCTAGACTACAGAGCGAGTTCAGGGGTAACCTGGCATCTTAGGAGAGACCCTTTCTCAAAATAAAAAGTAAAAAAGGCTTGGAAATATAATTCAATGGTAGAGTCCTTGCTCTGGGCTCATCCCACCTAGAGGGAAAGGCAGATAGACAGACAGACACACACCATGACACAGAAAGAGACTTACAACATGCAGATTGGATGTGGGGGTTGGGAGCATGAGCATCCTGCCTATTTAATGAATATATTTACACCTGTTGGACCCTGGAGTCCAATTACTGAGGAGGAGTCACCCAAGAGACCATTCTCACACCGCAGTTGATATAAAAGCATCAGGATTTTTATTAATTCTATCGTGACAGGGTCTTTCAGCATTCAAGAAGCCAGAAAGACCCCAAATAGCTGGTACAGGCTACTTTTAAAGCAAAAAGCCACAGAAATAAGGGGGGAGTCTGGGGGGTTGTTCCTTAACTATTATGATTGGCTTTTTCAAAGGGCTATTACCAATAATTGGCTGGAGAGCGGTTGCCACATCAGGTGAGGTAAGAGGAAACATCTGAGGGTCACTTTGCCCCCTTCCCAGGGACTGGGTCAAAACATCAGGAACTGAGTCAACACCTAAGGGTTATCTTGCCCCCATTCTAATAACTGAGTTCTATTTGGAGAACATTCACAAGGACTCAGGGAGATGGAAAATCCCTAACATTCCAGTACATGCATGTGAAGTTGTTAGGTCTCTGGTTCCCAGTAGAGGGGGAGCACTAATGCTGAGAGGCCTCAGCTTAAAGTTCTACATACCTTTATTTTCTTGGCTACACCATGACTTTGTGGGGCAAGCCAGGTCCTGCAACCCTCCTCTGCTGTTAATGCTTCAGTGTGGGCCATGGGAGGCATGGACAGACTTGTATTCTCATTCCTTAGCTGGTGTCACCTGAAATACCCAAATATCTAACTGAAGCCTCTTTGGACATGTTTCTTTAAGTATAGGCAAGCTGGGCATGGTGGTGCATTCCTCCAGCTCTCGGGAATCAAGGGCAGGTGAATCTCTAAGTTTAAGGCCAGTCTGGTTGGTCTACAGAGTAAGTTCTAGGATATCCAAAGCTACACAGAGAAACCCTATCTCGCTGGACAGTGGGGGAGCACGCCTTTAATTCCAGCACTTGGGAGACAGAGGCAGGCTGATCTCTGTGAGTTTGAGGCCAACCTGGTCTACAAGAGCTAGTTCCAGGACAGGCTCCAAAGCTACGAAAAAAAAAAAAACCCTATCTCAAAAAACAAACAAACAAAAGAAACATTTAAGAGCAATAGTTTCCCTAAAGTTGCTATCAAGAGCAATTGAAGGATACACTTTGAAGCTTTTTGACAAATAAATACTATGTTACCTTTCAGAAAGGCTGTATAGATTTCTCCTTCTGTCAGTCATGTTGGTGTCCATTCTTTACCCCTTCCTGACACTGGTTGTCATTAGCTTAAAAATTTAGCCAATATAAAGACTGAAAGATGTTTCTCCACTTATTTATTTATTATTTTTATGTATTTATTTATTTATTATGTAGACAGCATTCCTTCCATGTATGACCACACGCCAGAAGAGAATGCCAGATCTCATAGATGGCTGTGAGCCACCATGTGGTTGCTGGGAATTGAACTCAGGACCTCTGGAAGAGCAGTCAGTGCTCTTAACCACTGAGCCATCTCTCCAGCCCGATGTTTTTCCTTTTAGTTGGTTGGTTGATATTGTGTGTATTTGTGTGTGTGCACACGTGTGTGTGGAGGTCGGAGGACACTGTATGGGAGTCAGTTTCCTCCTTTCACCACATGGGTTCCAGGGATCAGATACAAGTCATCCAGGGTTGTGCAGCGTGTGCTTTTGCCCACTGAGCCATCTCACCTGCTGGAAAACTGAATTTCTAATGGGCCGATTTTAGTATGAAAACTTGCTTCTGAAAATGGCTGGGGTAGAATGTGCTATGTGCCACCGGTCCTCATCTCTTTCCCCCACTGTGATGGGCAGAAAGTTCTGAACAATTCCTGCCTCAGCAGTTTTCAACCTGTGGGTCAGGATCCCTTTGGGGATTGAATGACCCTTTCACAGGGGTCACATATCAGATATCCTGCAAATCAGATACTTACATTGTGGTTCAAGACAGAAGCAAAATTACAGTAAACAAGTAGAAACAAAAATCAACCCCGTCCTAGCTCCTCTCAGGCAGTAACTGCTGCTGTTCCCAGGTTTTGGGAACTCAGCGCCTTCAACGGAGGTGAACACAGAGGCAGGGCGAGCGGAGCTGCTGAAGCAGGTACTGCGGGATCTAGAGGTGCAGAATGCTGTATTGGTGAGCCCCTCACTGAGCGGCAGCTATGCCCTGCCCTTCTTGATGCGAAGACACCACCAGCTACGTGGATTTGTGCCCATCGCGCCTACCTCCACACGGAATTACACACAGGACCAATTCTGGGCTGTGAAGGTACTTAGACAGGGAACTGCAAAGATGCTGGCACCCTCTCCCTGGCTTGTATCACGTGGGGGATGGTCCTAGAGGGGCGGCCCCTGCAGGTGGACAGAGGAGGTAGTGTGGGGACAAGGCTGGATCCTCACCGAAACCCAGAGCCAACAACTTCCGAACTTGCCCTGCAGACCCCAACTCTTATCCTGTACGGGGAACTGGACCACACCTTGGCGCGGGAGTCACTGCAGCAGCTCCACCACCTGCCCAACCACTCTGTGGTGAAGCTGCACAACGCCGGCCATGCCTGCTACCTCCACAATCCGGAAGCCTTCCACCTCGCCCTTCTTGCATTCCTTGACCGTTTGCCTTGAACAGACTCAACTTCCCAGAACTAACCTTGAAGGGTCTAGACCCTCTCTCCCCTCTCCCAAGGAGGCTGGCCCTGAGTGGGATTGAGGACAGAGGATTAAGCCCAGCCAGGACTTTTGATTTAATTTCACAGGCACAATAAAGAAAAGCCCTTTTGTCTGGTTTGGAGAGTGACATTGTGTTTCCTGGGGAAGTTGAGGGTGGGAGGCAAGTCTGGGCCTGCTCTGGATGGATCGGGAGACTGGAGGCGATGCTCCTGTGAGTCTAAGCGAGAGTGCATTACTTCCTTCTCTGCCTCAGTTTTCTCCTCTGTAAAATGGGCATGGTGACAGTATCAGGGGAAATTATGGTGGGGTTGGATTACCTGGTAACATAGGATTAAGGATGCTTAAAGGCAGATGTTCCTGTGTCTGCAGTTCCACGGGGATTGCTTCGGGAATACAAATGACTTCCCAACTGCGTGAGAGCAGTGCAGAGAAGGTGGAGCTAGCATGTGGTTTAAGAATTAAAACAGTGTTGTTGAACCACCAAACCTGATTGCTTCCTTGTTAGGGGTGAGCAGCCAGAGACTTCAACCCCAAGTGGATGGGATGGCCCCTCTTTGATCCTGCCTGCTCCCTTGGTCCCAGGGTTGAAGTCTTCTGCTCCTCCCCACTCCCCAAGCTGGCTCGGCCTCTGGAACAGAGGGCAGAACACGCTGGGAGTACAAAGAGCAGCTAGGTGCACAAGTGGGCAGCTACAGTTACAAACAGCTTGCTGGTGGCCACAGGAACAGTCATGCCTCTGTTTCTCTCTCTGCTGGAGGCGGAAGAGCTGAGGGTTCGGTGTGGGGTCAGCCAAGGTGCTCTTTCCCAATCTCCCATACTGGCAGGTGTCATGATTGTACCTGATGCACACGATTGCACATGATGCGGGCATCCCTACCACCTCAGACTCATAACGTCACACGTATGGTTATATCACCGTAATACTTAACAGCCACACATTCTCCCACCCAGACATTTATCTTTCATTTATGGCGCCTTGCCCAGATGCCCACTCTGCCTGGCCAGGGTTAGAACCCCCTGAGCACACTGCATCCTGGAACTCACGGGGTGGGGAAAGCAGATGAAAAAAAAAAAAAACCCTCACTACACAAGGAGTGAGGTAATCTGGGAAGGCCTCCCTGAGGAGTGGAGGCAAGAAAAGGGCAGAAAGAAGACAGAGGGGACAGGGTAGATTTTGCAGCCCGACACCTAGAGAGCAGACGAATACCCAGAGCCGCTGAGGCGACTTTTAGGGCCAGGCCCCGCCCTCTTTTCTTGTCCTATCCGGTGGCTGCAGCGGGAGGAGGGTCCCTTGGGGGCGGGACGACCCTAAGCTTGCGGTCCAAGCTCCAGGGCGGGGCGTGGGGAGGGCGGAGCTGGCCGCAGTGAGGAGGACCCAGGGGGTGGATCCCGGATCCAAGCTTCCAGTTACCCGGTGCAGGCCCCACGCAGAGCCAGGCAGAGACAACGGCGCCGACTCCGCCACGGGAACTGGGACGGCCCCTACAGTCTCCGGTCTCCGCCCCTCCACTCCGCCCTGGCCACGTGGTGGGCGTACCCGGGCGGTTTTGAGATTGCGACCTCGGTGGACCCTGAGTCCTGGCCACAGTTCCGAGAGGGCCCTGAGAGAGGAGAGCACCGGACGGAAACCTGGAGAGAGCAAGGTTGGGAAACCTTAGGGAGGGGTTGAGGTGGGGCTCCGTGGCATAAAATCCCGGCCTTTGGGAGGAATATTTTGAGGAGGGTGTAGGGAATCAATGAATGTCTCATTCAGACCAAGTTCTCCTACTTCCTGAGCTGTCTCTGAACCTCTCTGAGCCTCAGCTTTCTCTTTTGTCAAGTGGGCACTAAAAGCACAAACTTACTTCCTTAGCACTCTTTTGGGGATTAAACGAGGAAACGTTTAGAAAGTAGCTAGCACAGCACAGAATGGGGGAGTCAAGCCGAGGTGGGAGCAGCACTGGAAAGGCCAGAGTGCGGGTGCAGCCCACAGGGCCCAGCTGCTACCGGCGGGAGAGGGGAGTAATTAGATACTTGACTTTGCCCAAGCCAGCACGCGACGCCATGACCACCAAGGGTCCCGAGTCCGAGCACCCCTCCGTGACGCTCTTCCGCCAGTACCTGCGCATCCGAACTGTGCAGCCCAATCCCGACTATGGTGAGAATGCAGGGTCTTAAGGCCTGTGACGTGGCCTCAAGGGCTGGGAGGGTGCTGTACACTGTTTTCGACACCTGTCACCCAATGGCACCCCACTCTGCGTTTCTGATGCCTCGTTTTCTGTAGCCATCCCTATATCGACTGACCAAAGCAACCGGTCCCACTGTGCACCATCCTTTCCCCGTGCTGTGCAGCTCACATGTTTACTCCTGGCAGCTAGTTAAAGAATGGCTTCCTCTACCTCCTCAAGGGCCAGAGTGGAGTGGGAAGACTTGGGCAACCACAAAGAGACACCTCATTCCCAGTCTACTAAAGCTGAACAAAAGGCACAGCCCTTAGGGAATCCGGCTTGGTGGCTGGGAATCTTGTGCATGGATCCAAATCCTGTTGTAAAATTTACGATTTGCAAGCCAAGAGACTTTGGGTGAGTCTCTTCACCTCTGACGCAGCTGTCTTTAAGAAAGATAGTATCTGACCTTCACAGAGGATCACTTAAGGGCCAAGAACATTGTGTCCCTTGGGTACACGGATACAGGTGTCTTTGGGGATAAGGAATTGTGTTGGTACATCTCTGGGCTGGTGGGTACCAGCAAAAGCAGAGCCAAGGCTCTCTGTTTCCCCAGGGGCTGCCATTGCCTTCCTTGAGGAGAGAGCCCACCAGCTGGGCCTGAGCTGTCAGAAAGTAGAGGTGAGCCTGGGATCCTGAGCAGGGTGGGAATGTGGGCTTGGGGATACCTTGTCACCTGGTGCTGACTGCCTGCCTCCTGACCTCACTCTTTACAGGTGGTTCCTGGCTATGTGATCACTGTGTTGACCTGGCCGGGCACCAACCCTACACTTCCCTCCATCTTGCTAAACTCCCATACAGATGTGGTACCTGTCTTTAAGGTATGTATAGATGGGCGTGGGCAGGCCTAGAGGACAGGCATAGTGTAGAGTTCAGGGTGTCCCCCGGGAACCCATGGTGCTGATTCCACCACTTTTGTCGTTTTTGTCATTTTGGTTTTTGGTTTTGTTCCCCCACCCCCACCCCTGAAACAGAATCTCACTATGTAGCTCTGACTGTCCTGGAACTTGCTATGTAGGCCAGGCTGGCCTCAAACTCACAGAGATCCACTTGCCTCTGCCTTCCTGAGTGCTGGGATTAAAGGCATGCACCACCACCGCCCAGCAGTCACCACTAATTCTTAACCTTCGTATGGCATGGCTCTATACATGCAGCCTTTGTTCCAGGAAGGGATCTCGGGAGGGGGTGAAGGCCGGAAACTGATGGGGGCTGGAAATCAACAAGCTGTTTTCTTTAGCCCTCTTCTGATCCTCTCACCATTTTAATTCAGTGGCGGGCCCTTCTTCCCACCTTTGCCTCCAGGAACATTGGCATCATGACCCCTTTGAAGCCTTCAAGGATTCCGAGGGCTACATCTATGCCAGGGGCGCCCAGGATATGAAAAGTGTCAGCATCCAGTGAGTATCCTCCATTCCCAGTCCCCTGCTGGGCTCAGCAAGAAAACAGAGATGTGATTGAAAAGCCCCCAAGCCAAACAAGTATCATCTTGACTTTGTATATAAAGCAGAAATTACTACCATGACCATATATGAATGGGGAAACAGGCTCAGAAAGGGGCAGGGAGTTTTCTGGAGTCCCTGAAATACATGGCAGGGAAGTGTCGAGGGCACAAGACTCTACCCTGCACACCGCTGGTGCTGCGCTACCCCGCACACCGTTAGCACTTAGGCTCTGCTCCCTTAGGTACCTGGAGGCTGTGAGAAGACTGAAGAGTGAGGGCCACCGCTTCCCTAGAACCATCCACCTGACCTTTGTGCCCGGTAGGAGTGGCTTGGGGAGGGCATCTATGAGGAGGGACAGGAAAGTGTGTTGCGAGGCATCTCATATCACATCTCTGACATTTACAGACGAGGAGGTTGGAGGTCACAAAGGGATGGAACTGTTCGTGAAGCGGCCTGAGTTCCAGGCTCTGCGGGCAGGCTTTGCCCTGGATGAGGGTGAGCAGGTTGGCCAGCCTCCTAGGTGTAGGGAGGCTGCAAGGGGAAGCTGAGTCACTCCACTCTGTGTACCTGCTCTTTCCCTCAGGCCTGGCCAACCCCACCGATGCCTTCACTGTCTTTTATAGTGAACGGAGCCCTTGGTGTGAGTATGGACTTGGGTTGGGGAATCACTTTCTACTGCCTCCTTTGCTAAAGCCATTCCCTAGGTCAGCTGGCCAAGGCATTTAAGCCCACTGTGCCCACCCTTTTCTTTTTCGGGGGGGGCGGGGAGTGGCTTTAGAGACAGGGTTTCTCTGTAGCTTTGGAGCCTATCCTGGAACTCGCTCTATAGACCAGGCTGACTGGCGTCGAACTCAGAGATCTGCCTGCGTCTGCATGTGCCACCACTGCCCGACACACTACCCTTTCCTAACACTACGCAGCTCCACGTGGTTACTTCTGGTAGCTCGTTAAGAAATGACTTCACCTCACCCCTCAAGGGCCACTTCTAACCAAGTGGCAACTCAGAAAGTGCTAGGGCTTTAGAAATTGATGACTCTTCCCTCCCAGCTCTTTCCTTCCTGGGTTCTAAGGGTTGTAAGCCCTTGGCTGTTGCCAGGGCCAGGTTCCTGTACTATGCCATGGGCTCAGAGTTCAGAATGTAGAAAAGACCTGGGCCCACTGTAGGATTCACTGTGTCTCCAGCTTTCTCATGAAACCTCTGTTTCTCCCAGGGATCCGGGTTACTAGCACTGGGAAGCCGGGCCATGCCTCACGCTTCATTGAGGATACAGCAGCAGAGAAGTTGGTGTGTGGCCCATGGGGAGTCTGGGCATTCGGGAGGCTCTGTCCCAGGGCCATTCTCACGTCTCACCTCATCCTCTCCTAGCATAAGGTTATAAGCTCCATCTTGGCATTCCGGGAGAAGGAAAAGCAGAGGTAAGGCAGCCTAGGAAGGGGGTGGGGTGTGGGGGTGGCTCTGGAAGGCTGTGC